TAGTGATAGAATTCATTCAATTGCTGATTTGATAATTTGATCTGTTCCCAGAGCTGTTGTTAAACTAGTTGTGTAATGTTTCGGTGTTGTTGTTCTTTCTTTTGGATTTCATGTGTGTCATGAATTTGTTTTAATTATTCAAGTTCATCCTGCAATTTAGCCATATGTTTGAGGATAATAAAGCCTTCGAGTTCGTTTAATTGGTTTTGTTTCCATCGGTTCTTGGGATCCGCCTTCTCGAAATCATGGACATTTAGACGTGCTTGTTTGTTTTCATCGTCGCTTAGTTCATCTGGTATCCGACGATTGTAGTTCGTATCGCTGAAGTATTCGGGATCTGCTGGTCATTCAGTTAATGGTGATGGTTGTTGTCTTCGATATCTTGGTTGTGACCAATGTTGGAATCATTGTTGGCCTGGTCTTCGTTGTTGATTTCGTTGCAGTCGCTGTTGTCGTTGTAAGCGCTGCTGTTGTTGCTGCCACTGGGACATATGTTGATGTAGTTGTTCTATGTTGTTGTCGTCTGAATGTTTCTCGTTGTTCACGACGTCGTTGACCTTGTCTTTGGCAGCGTCTTCGCCGACCTTCTTGTCTTCTTGTTATGTTACTTTCATGTTGAAGGTTAGAAGTCAAGCGATTTGAAGTTGGAATTATATTTGTGGTGCCAAGTTCTAGTAGAGGTTGATTTGTTATCACAAGTTCCCTTGATAATAATCGGTTAATATTGAATTCATTTTCGGTGTTTTGAATTGGTGGTTCTGTTGGATTATTACCATTTTGGCTATTGTTCATATTCGTTCTTACAAAAAGTGAGACGTAACAAGAAAGTCAATTTCGATATTTATTTTCATATGTTGTTGTAATTAATGTCTGTCCAATAATAAGATGGCCGTGGGTATTTTTGTAATACCTTTCGATAGGAACAAGATAGAGATCTGGGATTTTCACCGTTCGACAGAGGACAGAGAGGGACATGGAGACATACGATTTTCATTGGTCAATATATCGACCAATCAGATGAATTTCTTGGTAGACATTATTAGGACAAGATTTTAAAGGTCAATTTCTGATATGATTTTGACTTGTAATACCACCATTCGATAGAAAAAATTGTTCTCTGTCGATCTACGCAAGGCCGACCTTGCTACCTTGTTCTGTTCAGGAGATATAAGGGTTTTCCAGAAACCCCCGTTTTTGGCCACCTGTCCTCTGATCGCTGGAAAATATATCTAGGGAGGGGTAATCGGTTATGCTGAGTGCAGTGGTGATATTTGTTTTTCGTTTCAAAGCGATCCGACACTTCTATAGCGAGTTTTTTGACATCTGATATTTTCTCACTATGTGACCGAGATAGTCAATATTCTGAAAA